GTCATACAGCGGAGGAGGGTGGTGTGAATCAACCTCTGAACGTGAGATCTTAACACGCTGCCACGGTTCGCTCGTATTGAAGGTCTTCCGGAACCATACTTCGTCGGGATGGGGTACCATGACAATCTTTCCAGTTGACGGATCGCGACTTTCTCCCCAGCCAAAGTTCATCCACGTTGTCTCCTTCAGTTTAAAGATGTTGCCCTCTGTGTCTTTCTTGTCCAATTTGTACTTGTCACTTAGATGGCCGTTCCAATCTAAGAATTCTTTTTGTTTCATGTCACGAACCTTGAAAACAACAAATAAGAATATGCAATTCAAATAAGGAAATGAATAAACACAGCGTTGTTTGACGGTTTGCTTGAAGTTAGCCAGATAAGATTGCTTTTCATCCCTTTGTTTAAATAAACAACAACACAAAATTTAATATCCGTTCTTGTTCTCAGGTTGATGTAAGCAAAGTTCTTTCACTTTTCAGAAACAGATAATCCTACTTTAATCAATTTTAATCAATTTTTTTTGTTATTCCTGTTACAATAATAACTGACTATAATTCAAAATAAACTTACAATAAATGGTTTTGTTAGCTTGGCTTCTCTGACGACCGTAAGCCAATCGTCTGGCACCAACGCCCGGGCTGTTTTCTTCCTCTTTTCGATCTGGGCGAAATCCCTGTCGTTCTCGAGGAACGTGTGGCCTCTCACGAGAAACTTGTGATTTATTACCTCGTAGATTCCTTCATGTTGGAGGTCTGCCATGAACTTCACCAAGAGGTAGTTTTTATTCTGGCCGGTACACCCGTCAGAGTAGCTGACCAGCGATCTGTGGGTAAAAAAAAAATTAAAGCTCGAATGAAATGAATATGAGCTTCGATTCTCTACTGCGATAAGTCTTAAAATCGTACTGTTTGGTTTCTAACTCTATTTTTGTTTTTTACTTCTAAATTATTAAAAGTTACAGTGGAGATATTAAGACCTTTTTAGTCTCATTTCTCCCTTCGTTAAGACAATACCGCTAGCCACTTGTATTTGCTTGAGTTGTGGTTGGTTCACTTGGTTTTCTGCGTTTTTGTGATTTCTTAGAGTGATAAATTAACGTCACTATTTAAAACCGCCGCGGCAAATTAGATCTGAATTTTCTTTTTAATGCGAACTTTACCTTGCTCCACTTCTGAATTCTGTTAGGAATGTGTTCAGGCAGGAGACCACTGCACAGGAATCGCGCTTCGCTACATTTCCCCCCCACATCATCATGTAGCCCTGTTCGGCCACACAATCGTGGATGCCGAAGTTGTAGACCCAAAGTTGCCTGGTATACATGTAGATGTACGTGTAGATTGATAGCCAGCTTTATTGGCTTTAATTAGACATGCTAAATGG